GGGCTGGCTGGCTGCTGCTGCGCGGCCTGGCCTGGCCTGGCCTCCCCTCCGAAGGCCCTGCGCGGGGGCTGCGGGGCCCGGCGGCGGCGGAGAGGGCTGAGCCTTCCTCTCTTGTCTCTTCTCCCTCCCGGGGCCGCCCGCAGAAGATGGCGTCGCGGGACCGCGTGGCGCAGGCCAAGTCCCGGGCGGAGAGGTCGCGCCCGGCCACCGTGCCGGTGCCGCAGGTGGACGTCGTGCCGGGGCGCCTGTCGGAGGCCGAGTGGCTCTCGCTCCTGGCCGGCGAGGAGGCCGAGGACGGCGTCGGGGACATCCTGGCCGCGCTCCTCGACCTGGCGCTGGACGCCTGCTACAAGGTCCACCTGGCCCGGCAGGTCAGTCCCGCCCCCGCCCCGTGGGAGGAGCCAGCCAGGAGGGCCCCTTGACTTGCAGGGGCGCCACTGGAATGCATTAGGGTGCACGTCGAGTTGGGTTTTCCACTAGGGCCTCTGCTCAGGGTGGGGCAGGAGTGTTCTGGGGGAGGGCGCCCCCACCAAGGCTCCCTCTAAGCCGTCGAGTCCTCTGAGCAAAGATCCTACTCTGTGAGCTCCTGGCGTACCTTGCCTGGTTTCACCCCACCCCCCCGGGCATCCAGCCGCTCCCCTGCTTTATCCACAGACGGCTTCTGTTCTAGCCCGCCTTTCTCCCAGGGACTCCAGGCAGGTCACACGGAGCGAGTCAGGATGGGCCGCAAAGCGGGAGGTCCCATGCGCAGTGCCACTGGGATTGTAGCCCTCTGTGGGACCACCAGAAATCTAAAGGGTAGGACTGAAGCATAAGGTGAGTATTAACACGACGCATCAAGCAGAGCACAGGTTACACGATGGCGTCTTTCTTACAGTTAGCAATACTCAGCAGGACGGACCACGGTCAGCCAAGTAAGTCGGTGAGCCGTTTTGTGCACCGCAGCCCCGTGGGCCTGTGCGGAAAGGCCCTCTTGGAGAGTTCCGCTGGGCAGAGTCTCTGGGAAGCCAGGAGAGTGGGACCCTTCCTGGGCTCCTCCTCAGGCCGGCCGTTCCGTGTGGCGGGGGCCACCGTGGAGAAACGAGCTCATGTGCACGGGCAGCTCTCCGATTTGGTCCTCCCCAGTACCCCGAGAGGAAGAGGTGGGTTTGAGGAAAGCTCTCGAGAGCCCTGCCGGGTCCAGGTCTTCAGGCGCTCTTTGTTTCAATATGTCGTCGGAGCTGTTTGTCTCGGTCTCCACCCTTCTGCTCTGGGTGGGGGAGTGACTCAGCCGGCCATTCTCCAGCCGCCCAAAGCCTGTCTTTCTCGGGCCGATGGGTCACAGCACCCACGGCCCCCATCTGGAGTGATGACGGCCCATTCTGCTCTCCGCATTGGTGGTGCTCTGATTGAGGGGACGGGGCCTGCAGGGTCCCTGACCTCCTCCTCCTCCTCCCCCACGAGGTGGTACGTGCTGAATAGTCCCCCCTGGGTGCAGCCTCTGGTGGAAGGAGTCGTCTCACAGAGGGCCTTTCCACCTTAAGCCGCTCCTCGGCCACAGTGATGTCGTCGTCCCACCCCACGAAGAGCAGGCCTTTCCTCAGGACACCATCCCACGGTGAGGAAGACAGGGACGCTGGACTGGCAGTGAACGGTCCTTCGGGTCGGTGGATGGAAGGTGCCCCCCCCGCGACCTGCCCTGACCCCTTTGCAGCATCCTTGGTTTGTGTCCTGGGAGTGCAGCGGACTTCTCTGGCAGCTGGTCTCCCATCTCCCCTTGCAGTGGCTCAAGAGGATTCTAGGGAGGGGCAGCGTCTAAATTGTCTGAACGGATCCATAGCTGGGCAGGGCGTCCTCCCACGGCAGACCAGTCAGACTGGCCTTGCTTGTTGACAGGAAGTGGGAGGACAAAGCTCCCCTGTGGGACACCTTCTGACCCCCCCCCCCCAATAAGGAGACCCATGCGCTGCCTTCCGTCTGCAGGCCCGTCTGGCCCACCTGGGCTCTCCTCTCTCCTCCTCCACAGCGCATCCCATACGTCATCAACCAGGCGCGGGAAGCCATGGTGCAGATCATCGAGTGGCGCTTCTTGGTGCGCGATGGGGGCGAGGCGGATGTCTCGGCAGACCCCACATGGCAGGAGGACGAGGAGCCCGTGGCCTGCATCACCGATTCGTGGGCTCAGGGCTCTGTGCCCGTGTTGCAGCCCACGCCACGCCCAAAGGAGGCGGCAGAGGTAGGCTGGCTGGGAGCAGCCGAGGAGTCGTCTTAGGGCTCCGGGGGTCAGTCCGAGGCCCCTTCCCTGGGAGGTCAGTCCCATCTGACCTGGCAGAACTGGCTTTAGAGTGGGACGGGAGGGGAGTAGGGTTTGAAAGGACGTGGGGAAGGGGAAGAGAGCCACACTCTGAGGATGCGCATGTGGTGAAGTGCACATAAGCACCAGCAGCTACAAATTTTTATCAGGCTGCTCTGGGGGGGGGGGGGGCAGAAGGGCGGTCAGCCCCTTAAAGGAGTTGCAAGCAAGAGGGCGGGTAGATGAAAAAAACCCTGAAACCTGATGCCTTTGTTAGAGACTAGGAAGATATACAAGAGAAGAAGAGAGAAGAGATTGGATTTCATACCCCATGGCCCTTCACAACCCAAAAGTGTGTCTCAGAGCGGCTTACAAACCCCTTTCCCTTCCCTTCCCCACAACAGACAGACACCCTGTGAGGCGGGTGGGGTTGAGAGAGCTCTGACAGAAACGGCTCTTTTTCTCGGACAGCTCTCCAGCCTTCCCTCGTGGGGAGGGTCCTCCAGCCCCCTCATCCTCGTGGCTGCCCTCCTCCTCCTCCTCCTCTGTACTTCTTCCTTCCAGCTCTGCAGTGTCCTCTTTGAGATACAGTGACCAGAACTCTGCACACTGTATTCCCGATGAGGCGGCATCATGGATCATGGATCTATATAGGGGGCGTTGCCATATCAGCCATTTTATTCTCAGTCGCTTTCCTAATAATCCCTCCTTTCTCACTGCTGCAGCTGCCTTTCTTTGGAGCTCCCCACCCCGTTTATCTGTCTATGGTGGTCTTCACAAAGCTTTTCCCACTCTTCCTAAAAAGGTGCAGCAATGTAGACGCAACTCCGTGTCAAAAAACATCCTGTTTTTATGTCCTTTCAACTACCATGCATGGAGAATATTCCTGGATCGGTGCAAGTGGATCCCTTTTCCGTTTCCTGCTCACTTTTCACATGCTTCTTTACCCCTCCCAGCTGGACTCCTGCGAGCCACCATGCCCCCCCAAGATAGCATCTGCCCACCCCCCCATATAACCCTGATCCAAACCAAATATCATGGCTCCTCCTGTGCATCTATAATATTAAAAGGATCAGTCCTCAGGAAACAAAACTAGGAATCTCAAAACTGGCCACCAGCGTCAGGATGACTGTGAGAGTTCCAGGGCTAAAAATGAAAGGAACTGGAATATCCTGGCCCAGCTTATCTCCATTCTCTTTCCAATGGAAGCTAAGCTCATGTAGAGACTGAAATGTACTAGGATCTTGGAGACCCAGGTTCGAATCCCCACACTGCCATGAAAGCTTGCTGGGTGTCTTTGGCCCAGTCACACACTCTCAGCCTGACTTGCATCACAGGGTTGTTACGAGAACTACATGGGGGAGAAAGGTGTGCGACATGTTGGGTTCCCCCCTTTGGGGAGAAAAAGTGGGATATAAATAAAGTAAACAAGTAAGTTCTAACGTTTATTCCTGGTTTGCCACCACTGAGGCAGACTAAGGTTCATTATCCTGCACAGAAAGGGTAGAGGAAGCCGCCTTTCACTACTTTGATAGGACTATGGGGAAATATTAACTCTCCCTTTTGTTCACAGTATTGACAAAGGTTTGCTGCTGTGCGACTATTAAATACGTTCTCAGTTGCCAACCAGGATGGAGAAAGAGGAGTTGAGACTGAAAAATAAGGAGTGGGGAGGGAGGGAGCTAGAAGTATGGGTGGATGAATGGCTGATCACGGAAGGAAGAGAGCAAAATGACAGAGGACAAAAGTGTAGAAAAGAGTCAGAGGAATGCAGGAAAAGACCTTTTTTCATGCGATGAAGCTGATGGGTAGTAGATTCAGGATGGACAAAAGAAAATACCTCCTTATACAGTTATTAAAATCTGGAATTCACTGTCACAGGAGCAGGCAACTTGAAGAGGGGATTAGACAGATCCATGGAGGAAGAGTCTGTCAGTGGCTACTAGCTGTGGTGGCTAAATGGAACTGCCACACTCAGAGGCCAGAGGCAGCATCAGGGGAAGGCCTCGGCCTCCCTGCCCTGTTCGTTTGGCCCTCCAGAGGGACTGGCTGGCCCCTGTGTGAGACAGGAGGCTGGACTAGGTGGAC